CTCACTTGCCTGAAAACTAACCCTACTGAAAAAAAAACAAAGCAAACCATTTTTCAGGAAGATGAAAGAGCAAGGGTGCTGCTGTGACACAAGAGGACAGAAATGCATGACCTAGGGAAAGAAAGAGATAAAGTCCCTTTGGGCAGCCACATGCTCTTCTACTGGGCTAAGCCAACCAGTGGTGACTAATGAGTTTATCTGTTAGGAATCTCAACAAAATATGCTTTATTCAACTATACTGTAAGAAGGAGGGTTGAAGCATGCAGTTATCCTCCCTTGCCTTACAACCAAGATCCCAGGAGAGCCAGGGCAACCAGACTTTCTGACATTCTCTTGTGCCCCCTTTTTTACTCAAGTTGCTGCCTGCTCATTGCTGTGACCTTGGGGATACCATAGGAATCCCCGATGCAGGATTACCTCCTGCTCCACTGCGTTGTGGTACCAAGCTCCGTGTCTACCACCTGCACGTATGTAAGACTGAGAAAGACTTTATCAAGAGTTATAAAACCCTGGTGAGAATGGATTCCACTCTGCCCAAGGTAAGACCTGTCCTTGAAGCCAGCTATGATACTGCATCATCACTTGTCCTGTGTAGCGATCACCTTAGAGTTACCAATGCAACATTTAAAATTCAATTTATGCTGTACACAGGCTGAACCAATTAGCTCTCATAAAATGAGATACAGACATGGGGGTTTAAAAGCCCGTATTTCAAATGCAGTTTATCTATTTTGTGAGTGCAATTCACCCTGAACTGTTCTCCCCCTGTAAGCTCTACCTGCACCTTTGCTAGCCATTTAAACAAACAAACAAAAAAACAAAACAAAAAGGGACAAGGCTAGACTGAAAAAGACATCTTGCACTTTCTCAGGCACTGCCTAGGAGCCCATAAGAGGGCTGAGGGATTCTGCTGGGCAGCAGGTTTAATGAGCAGTTGGGCATGATGATGTTTCAGGGGCTAAGAATCCACAAGGCAGTCAACACTCTGGCATGAGTTTGTCAAAACATGTAATCCCTGCCTGTACAGTTTAAAAATAAATGTATTCTAAACTGGGGGACTCACTGGTTTCACTGGGAATGCAAGAGTACTTTCCCAGGAGTCAGGCTAGAGCATGCAGCAAACTACCTGTCTGCATAGATTCCCCACATAACATTTGGCAATTCTGTTGCTCAAAAACCTCACGTATAAAATGGAGAGGTGCTGCACCTACATCCCCACATCTGCTTTGCACATCTCATTTGAAAACTTCACAGGTCAGGAGCTGTCTCTGGCAGTTGGTGCCTGGGCGAGCTTGAGCAACTTCTCCGTCACACCAAAGGTCTTTGCTCTGGGGCTAGGATACTGCCTGGTGTCAGCTGGGCCTCCCTCTCATGAAGGTTTCCTTTGAATGTGCCCTCCTGTGCCTAGTTCGCTCTGGAATGACACAGCATGTGTCACAGAGTGTGATTTTGCCTCTCTCCCCAAGCACCTTGATCGTGGTATTGATTATGCAGAGGAGTGATTTACACCCTCAGTGATGGTAAAGCAGGATTTGCTTCCCCCAGAGAAGTCCTAGTACTCAAGAGCAGTTTATGGTGAAATAAGGAGCAACATGCACATCTTGCCCCCACCCTTCCCCGCAGGGCTATTGCTCATGTGTGGGAGCTAGAGAAAAGAGCAGTAAAGAAATGTAAATGTAAATCTCCCAGCTTTGCCCCTCACACCCAAACACTCCATATAAACCAACAGCCATCTCCAGGTACTGTTTTCAAGTGAGACAAGCAAATACTCAGCATCTCTGTCCTGGAGCCACAAAAAACTTCTTCACTATAGAATACTTTCACCTTGCTTCTTCCTGAAGTGAAGATTTCTACTTGTGAAAAAGGAAAAGAAACAAAAATGTAAGGGAAAAGCATAGATGTTGTAAATCTGTTTATTCTGAGATTTGCTTTTTGAACTGAAACGAAGCAAAATCTGCAGTGCAACTCCTATTTACGCACAGTGTCTAAGACATGACAAGTAAGAAGTTTCTGCATCCTGAATGAATTGAGAAAACACAGATGTTTTGTCAGATCCTTCTCTTAAACATGGGACTTAAAGAAACAAAGGTAGGGTTATAAAGCAGTGTATGCCACAGCAATGGAACACAGGGAGTTGGAATTACATAGTAACTCCAGTATGCAATAAAAACAATGAAAAAAATTAGTTCTGGATGAGGCAGTGTAATAATGCACACAGGTACCAGAGATACTGCAAAAGAAAAATGGGGTGTAAAGGAACTTGGAACCAGCATGTCAAAGTGATGCACTGAGAGCCTGATTCCACAGTCTGTCTATCCCACAACGCAGGGGTGGAAGGAGACAGAGTAGTTATCACATCTCCCTGGGTGTCAGGGAAGTCCTTCCAGCCCCAGAGGAATAGCAAAATCTACTTTCGCAGCAGTCTGAGTAGAGATAAAGCAGACTTGTAGGTGCATGCAGGGCATGTGCATGGTATAAACACGGTATCACTGAGATGGTAAACCTGATAGGACAGGCTGATGAGGCGGCTGCAGGGGATCTAGAACCGGGGTCTTCCCCAAGCCATGGACTAAATGATGCTGAAACTCCTGAGCACTGAAGAACCAAGCCCGGGCATTAAGAAAGGCCAAAGATTATGTCAACAAGATCTGATCCTACATTGCCCAGAAAGCCCGATGGAGTAATATTATATACTGCCTCTATGTTTATGAGTGAAACCAGCTGGAGGCTTTCTTCTGAAATACTCCACTATTTCAAAAGAGAATAGCAACAAGTAGTAGAAAGTGACACCGCTACATCTGTCTGGAAAGGTACTAAAAGCAGAGCTGACAAAGCTTAAACAGAAACACAGAGACACATGGTCTAGTGACCTTTCCATAGAACAAGGCACTGCAGAGATCTCTTGGCTCCAACACTGGTTCCTTTTGTGCCACCAGACAATCCTCTTTATCCTCTGTCCTTCAAATAAAATAACATTTGCCTGCTCCTGAGGGCAGCCACAAGGATAAATGAGCAGCAGCCCAGGGGCTATCAACCCCACCCCTTATTCAGCAGATTTTGAAAGCAGCTTTTTCCATTTGCTGTGATTTCTTCAGTACCTTCCTATTTGATTATAGTATTGACCTATTTTAAGGGAAAACCACATTGATTTTAAGCCATCAGGATAACACATCCACAGCTTCGTTTCCCAACGCCTGCTGCTCCAATTGGAAAGTATTTGTCTGGGTTCTTTGGGCTGCATTTACTCTAGTTCCTGCGTGTGGGAAAGGTAAACAAGCAATAGTTTATAGGCCATCCTTTACCTTCTGCATGCTGGAACACTTACACCTATTTTAGGACAGACTGCTAGAGCAAAAAGAGACACAACTGTCATTGGGTTTAGAATGCTTATTAATGCAGTGCAGTATTTTAGACCTGTGGAGCTTCTATATCGTTTTAAACTCTCACCATGCTTATAACCGATGCAAAGTTATTTGAAGCTCTTAGGTTTTCCTCATGTTGATCACATCCCTATTTCAGATTCCTTTAAAATGATGCTCTGTGAAAAATCATGGTTCAAGAACTGACTGATGAGAGCTGGGGACAGCAGTCTGGCAAACATAGACTTGGCCATTCCCACTCCCTTGGGAGAGCCCTTCAGTCCTCCATGGAATTTAGAGGAGGACAGCCCAGCTCCCCCAGGCATCAAGAACAACTGTGGGCTCATTCTGTACAACTGAGTGAATTCTGTGTTATTGAGGAAAAAAAGGAGGGGAAAAAAAAAAACAAAACAGCTTAAATTTTGAGAAAATGTTGGGTTTAAACTACTACTGGTAATTAAAAAAAAAAAAAAGTTCTTGTAATTAAAAAAAAAAAAAAAAAGGATATAGAGGCATTAGGACAATTTTCTTCTGATACTCCCGGGGAACTGTTCACAACCTAAACAAACTAACAGCATTTTACCTTCATCCCAAAATAGTTCAAATTAGGATTACTCAAAATGTGTCCTCCGTGAATTTGCAGGTTTGTTCTACGATGATGCAAAGATCCCATTCATTAATACAGGAAGCTGGACAAAGCTTCAGGAAGATGTACTCTTAACATTTTTCTCACAGGTCTGGTTATTTAGGTTCTCTAGCTCTGCCCCAGAAGGACATCCCCAACTTTAATGTCAGCTTAATTAACATATTTCCAGAGGTCTGGATCCCACATCACATTAAATTGTCTTTCAGAGCTGCCTTCTTATTCTTTTTCACACTACAGTTTTACACTAAAAGCAAAATTACTGTCATTAGGTGACCTAACTGTATTTTCCCAATGTTTCAAAATGCTCGAGTGAATCACTAAAAACCACTATTAGGTAGATCAAAGCATCTGCAGAAAAGCTATCATTCTATATTAAATTCTATTGAATTCATTCCAAAATTGTGAGTAATCTTTATGAAATTGATTGGTACTTTAATGTTTGCTAATCAAGTATGAACCTAATATTCCAATCTATTGTCAGACTTTGCCGCCTTCTTAGCTGTCTCAGTGTATCAATCCTGAAAGGATTTCCATGCTGTGAGCTATTTTCATCACTAAAAACTACTTCTCCTGTTTTAAGCTGAAACAACTGTGCATGTGCCACACACTGCCTAAGTTCAGAGTTGCAGATATACAAGATAGTCATAACTTTGACACCTTCCACAATCATGAATTCTACACTCATAATGAGCAACAAAAATAAAAAATAAAGCCCCTCCTTTTTTCTCTTACATGTTTTCATACAGCTTTGATGAATCTAAGAGAAATGCAAATCAGCGTTTCAAATAGAAAGTGCCATGCTGGACTTCACACCATACCCTGTGGCCAGAAAATGCTTGATATGCCATGGTCCTTCACACTGCAGAAGTGCTGCTGAGGCACCTGAGAGCCTTGAGGTTGCTAAAGGGCTCCCATCAGACCTGTTTGGGGAGCACAAATTGGAGTTTCCAGGCAGCATGAGAGAAATCCACAAGTACTTGCCATTAATCAGAAAATCTATTCTGATAAGACTTTTATAGTTCAATTGTGAAGCATTAGAAGTAATCTGTTATCAGGATCTTGGTTACTTAGAACTACTTTCTTAAAGTTAACAGTGCAGAGTAATTCATTCTTGGAGTGTAAGAATGATCTATTTGGGGTACAGGAGGTTTGCACTGAAATCTTTTAAGCCTATTTTGATGTATATGACGGCTTCACTGAAGTCAGTTGAAGATCAAGGTCTGCACAAATTCCAATAAATACAGCTTCATACAGAGAACAACTACAAAGGAAAGGCTATGGGGAGGATTAACAGTAAATGTTGCATATCACAAAATTAGTAGGTAGGTGGTTGTCTTTGAACTTGCTGTGAGAGAGTACATTTTGTATCAACAGCCATCAATGACATAGAAACAAATAAAAATATATTGCCTACTGAAAACATTTGTTTTCAAACATCTGCTTGCTCACTGAACTGCTTTACAACACTGTTTTGACATAAATAACTCTCTAACATCTTTTATCATATAGACTTCTTTTAATAGTTTTCTGAAAGATATTTTAGGTACTTAGTGCAATTAGTAAGCCTAGTTAAGCCTTATTTGTACACTGTATTTCCTTTACCCAGTGCTGGCAAGTCCAAACAACATTGACGCTAGCTGCTATGGAGTAAATAGTGTAAACATAACATAAAGCTTTAGACAGTTGAATTATACACTGAATCCTTACAATGCCACAAAAAGCTGCTGCACAAACAAAGAAGCAAGCACAGTATGAGGAACAGTAGCTTACTATTTTAAATTTTTCCTGTACACTCCAAAGACAAGTCCTAGATTTTCAATAATGTATTGCACCACTATTTCATTTTTACCCTACGCAGCCTTTATTCTACAGGAAGTGCCACTGGTCTAGCCAGAAATAACATTAGCTGATTTTTCAATGACTAACAGATTAGTTTATAATAATCTTGTAGATCATGAAGAATGAGCATCAGGCTGGAATAGGTAGGACTTGTTGGACCTGCTCAGCTAGAGGTGAACTCTGACACTTTCAATTTGATTCCAGCCTGCAGTCTGAAGCAAAAGGCTCATCCGGAAAATCATGAGCCCCATGCCTACCTTCCTAGTTAAAATAATTTTCAGGTTGTATTCTTCCATCTAAGCAAGTCCCAACTAAATAACAGTTGTCATCTCCAACAACTTCAAATCAAGAGTTCACTACAGCATTTTCCACTTATATTCCTAACTTTGACCTTGGAACACCACCTAAGATGGTGAGCAGTAATTCAGCCTCCCAACTACCTCATTCTAAGAGAATCTCTCCTGAGAGCAGGCTGCTAAAGGCAGTTTTGTATTTGACCCAGTACTTGAACAACAAACTCCATTTCAGTTTGAGTTACAGTTTGGGTTTGGTCCAAGACTGCAGATGGCATCAGATGCAGTTTTCTTTCTTGTAAAATCACACATCCGCAGCATTTATACCTTGGGGAAGGTGGCATTTTCAAAAGTGCTCATCACTTCAAAAGCCTTCATCTCCTTCTTCCTATACATTTCATACAGGAAAAAAAAAAGAGAAAAAACAACACCCAAATGTTTCTCATAATTGAAAAACAACAAAAAACAACAAAAGAAGAAAAAAAAAAAAAGAAAGAGGATACCCAAATTGGCGTTAATCCTATTGATGGTGCTCAAACAGGTAACCTTTTCAGTTCTCAAAGTTTCTTTCAGCATAACAAATATTTGGGAAAGAAATCCTATCATTTCTGCAGTTAACAGGGGGGGCTTCACTAACTTAAAACAGTTACAGCATTCTACTACTATTTCTCCAGAACAATTCACAGTATCTCACAGTAATGTGCCTGAGAGGCTCCACGTGTTTTGAGATAACACAGTAATTCTGTATTCAAAATAACTGCATAATTTGTAAAAAATAAATTACTCTGTTTCCCTTCTGCATTTTATGAAGTCTTATGGCTTCCTCAAAATGTATTATACAAAATAATTCATACAAGCATTGTTATGAATAACAGCCTACATGTTCAATACCAGTATTTGTTATTCAAAATTCAGGCCACATTACCAACTTCTGATTGGATTTACAGATTGTATAATGATGTTTCCTTCCTGTGACTGGAGAGTGGAAGAAGAGAACGGCTAACTAATATCTTGTGCTCAATCAAAGCGCCATTAATCTAGCTAAAGTATTTTTCTAATTCTGTTTAGTTGAAGTGACAGAAATCTTCATGGGGCTATGTTTAAGCTGATTTAAAACTGATTTATACTGAATTAGCTTAATTTGGTTAGTTACTATGAACACAGATAAGGCCCGAGACCCAGAAATAAGCATTTGTGCCTAACTGGAATCCCAGTACCAAAGACTTTCGAGAGTCAACTTTGATTTCAACTGCAGGAATAGGTGAAAGAAGATTGGGCCCCAGATTGCAATACTACATATTTTATACATAGATATATGTATACATATATAGTCAGTTATACAAATACATATTTCTGTGAATGTCCCTTCTACTACATTCCCCTGTCAGGCGACATCAAAGGTATAAAATGGAAAATGCCTTCACCTAAGACAGTACAAATTTGATGGTTTTGGTATCATTCAGCTAATATTCTTGCAAAGATCATCAAAGAATATAATGGCCTACCCCACATAATGATGCAGTCTTTACACGTACAGCACTATTTGTACAGCAGAGTTTATCAGCAGTCAAGTTGGATGCCTAATATAGGAAGATGTCTCTAGGACAGGTGATATCAGGAAGAAGTAGTGGGATCCAGACCTGACACGGGTGGAGGAATGAGGACTGAGAAGAGGTGAGAGCAGATGGAAGTCTCTCTGCTCCTCTTCTACTCACTCTTCTCAAACTGACCCAACGCTGGAACAGGCCCTCTTCCCCAACTTCCCCATCAGGGGCAAAGCTGCTGCCCGCACAGCCCAATCCTGTCCCTTATATAAGCCCACTTAGATCTTCAGGCGACGTACACGGTGGGGTGCACTGGACTGATGGGTGACTGACCCATGGATGGCACCAGTCCTCTCTATCCACCTTGCTCCTGCATAACAGAGCCTTCCTCAATAAACGCTCCACTCCAGCATTCTCCTTTTCTCTCCAGCTTTCCCCTGCTGACAATACAGACCCTTCAGCCCCTCACCCCCAGCTCTGACTGGCGCGGCGGGTGTTATCTCCTGCCACCACTTCATCCCTCAGCCATGAGATGCCTTCTGCACCAAGACATTCGCCAACGTCAAAACCGGTCGGTCCCAACTGTGGGTAAGGTAAAAAAAAAAAAAAAAAAAAGTTAAAAATAAAGTTAAAAAAATCCCTGAAACCCAACAACAACAACAACAAACTATTTACGAAGCCGTCCTGCGAAGGCCGACGCCTCCCTGGGCACCATCCAACGCCAGCCAGGGGCCCGCCGCGGCGGCCGGGGGGATTTTGGGCAGGGATCCTCCTTCCCGGTGCAAGAAGCCGGCAGACGGCACCGACCGGCCCGGCGGCCCCGCTCCGCCGCGCCCGGCCGCAGGCGAGGCGGCCTCCGCCGCCGCCTCAGCGCCCGGCTCCCCCCTTCCCCTCAGCGGCGGCGGCCTCCCGGCGCGGCGCGGCGCGGGGCGCGTTACCTGGAGCGCGGCGGTGGCGGCCGCCGCCTTTACCTGTGCGCGCCTCTTCCAATGGCAGCGCACCTGCCGGCCCGCGCCGCCCAATCAGCGGGCGGCTCGTCCCTCTGCCCCGCTCCTTTAGTGAAAGAATCCGGCGCCGCTCGGGAAAGTTACCTGTGCGCGCCCGGCCCGGCCGCTCTCCGCGCCGCGCCGCGCCTCGCCGCCGCTCCCCACATGCGAGGGGGAGGGGGCTTTACCTGTCCTACCTCGGCGGCTGGCTGCGGAGCCGGGAGAGGGGGGGAAAGGGAAAGCAGAATTACCAGTAGCTCTGGTTCTGCCGTCCCGGGCGTTCACACACACACACCTTCACCTGCACAGACCTGAAAGTCCAGTTCCGCCAGGGAGACGGAGGCACCGGGAAAAGGGGAGAGAGTTCATTGGATCAAACATGTCACAAGAGACGGACAAGTAAGTGATCGCAGGCACGCCGCTGCTCCCGCTGCGCGGGGCTGGCCGGCCCGCCCGCCGGGCCGCGCTTCCCTCTGGCCGGCGCGGCCGCGGACCTGCCGGGACGGCGCTTCTCCCTCCGGAAAGCGACGCCGGACCGGGCGCCACAGGAACCCCCGCAGCGCCCGAGGACAAGGCTGCGGCTCGCCGCCCCCCACCTCGCTCTCCATCTGGCTGGGGGGCTTCGTGAATTTTTCTTTTTTTTTCTTTTTTTTTTTTTTTTAAAAAAACTTCCCTTTTAGCTTAGGTTTTGGTTTGTTTGGTGTTTTTTTTTTTTTTTTTTTTTTTTTTCCCCCCCTCATTTCACCTCGAGGGTCGCTTTTCGGGAGGGATCTCTCCTCGCCCTAGAAGAGCAGAGCGGCCTCCGCCCGCCGAAGGCCGCAGACGAAAAGTGCTTCTTGGCTTTTGTGTTAGCTCAACAAAGGGCTTTTTATCCCCAGCCGGACACGGCCATCTTCCTCCCCTCGGCACCCCGGGCCCGTCCCGCGGGCGGCGGGAGGAAGGGCCTCGGCCCGCTCCTACCCGGGGGCTCCCCAGCCTCGGCCGCCCCAGCCGCTGCCCGCGGCGCCTTCAGCCTCGGCGCCCTGACCTTGTTTTCCCGGCGGGACGTCCCGGCGGGCCCGCGGCTGCCCGGAGACCGGCGCCTCCGCCCCGGGTTAAACAGTAACTTTCCCAGTGGCGGCGCCGGAGGAGGAGGTGGAAACCGCCCGTTCCCGCCGGTCCCAGGCCCGCCGCAGCCCGGCGGGAAGGGGGGCCGCAAGCCGCGGCGCCAGGGCCCGGGCCTGGCGGCAACGAGGCGGGCGAGGCCGGGCAAACGGCGGCGGTGAGGTGCGGAGCCCCCCTTGCCTTCCGCAGGCACCGGGGGCCGCACCCCCCCGGGGCACGCAGCAGCACCGAGCCGGGGCCGGCGGTGGGCTCGGGGCCGGTCCCGCGGTGAGGAGAGGCGTCCGCCCGGCGCGCAGGCCGCCGCTTTGCTCTCCTCCTGCCACCTGGGCGGGAGCCCGGTGCCGTCAACGCTTCGTGCCGATCGTCCCCAAACCAGGGGCTGTTGGTACCGAGCCCCGTTCCCCGGTACGCCGTGGAGCGAGGCCGGTGCCCGTTCCCGCGGTGGCGGCTTGGCGTGAGGGCCGCGGCCTGGCGGGGAGCGCGGCGGCGGCCTGCGGCGCCGAGCAGCCACCGTGAGGCAGCCAGGCGGGAAGGGCCATTTTACCCGCTCGGGTTATTGGTGTTCCTTGCAGCAGGCGGCTGCGGAGAGTAACGGGGCAAAGAAGATGGAGGGCGGCAGATTGCAGAGGCCAAGCGGGAGATGGCAGCTTTTTTTTTTTTACTGCTGCTCTGGCGCAGGTGGGAGCGCCCCACTCGGGAGCGTGGCCTCGGCTGTGCTTGGGGCTGCTCAGACACACTCCCTTGCTGCGTTCCCCGGGAGCCTTCGTGGCAAAGGAGGTGGAGAGGAGGAGCCTGATGTTGGAGACGTCGACTGAGGGAGGCTTGGTGACAGCCTGCCTGTCAAGGAGTGAAAGAAAGAGATTATCCGGCAAAAGAAAACAGCAGGGTTGGCTGCCCTGATAGGGAAGAGATGGGATGGTTCAAAGGAGAAAGAGTAAAAAAATCATTTTAGTCCCGGCCTTTTTCAAGCATCAGCTAGTGGGATAGTGCAAAGGTAGTTACTGACATAAAATTAAACTGGTTGTGGTAGAAGCTGGGAACGAAGCGGAGTTTGGTAGTTCATTCCAGCAGTACTGATTTAAGTGCAAGGAAGGGAATAAGGACAGAGCCCTGAGGGATGCCGGTGAGGCAGGGAGGAGCATCTGAAAGAGCGGTCGTTGAGTTGGGAGGGGAACCAGATTAACTGTGAAAGACCTGACAAGAAGCAGTGATCGAGGGCATCCCAAAGCAGGAGCAGGTGAAAAGGGCCCATAAGTCACTCCATGGACGAGTCTAGTTACCAGTAGTTTCAGTAAAGTGTCAGAAACTAGGCTGCGGTAGATCAAGCACAGTTAACGACAGCGGGAGGGGAATATGGCGGGGGGGAGGAAGCAACTTCATACCACAGTCAGCTTTGAAATAAACAGTGCAGTGGAAACGTAACTTGTGTAAGAAATGAGGACAAAAGTGGTTCCCCTCTGGGTCTAGGATGGTACTAAGCTACAGGACTATCCTTCCTTCCCAACAGGAACAGTATGGCATAGGTGTATACTGAGTGCTACTGAGACTGAAGCATTAATGCCCTTCATCCCCTGCTCTGTGTAGTGCTGCTGCTGTTACCACTGTGAGGAACCTAAGAGCACTGCAGAGCATGTACCCTCAAGTAACAGCACTTCCCCCGTTGCAGGTATGCCTGTGATCTGTTTATGGTTAAGGTGTTTAGAAAATTCATAGGTGGTAGGTAAGAGTTTGAAAAGAAAATAAAAAGTAAAGAAATCCCCTGGGCTCTGTATACACAAGTGTAACATGAGAAGACAAATATATTTGTTTTCAGAAAAGATGACCAGGTGGAATGAGATAATAGACTGATGGGGGGAGTTTGCATGGGAAGGGGTTTCTTTTTGTGTTTTTTTTTTTTTTTTTTTTTTTTTTCTTCCTCTAATGATATCCAATTAAAACCTAATCCAGAGAGTACAACATTATTCTCCTCCACATGGCCTTTCTTTTACGTAAAAACAGATCTTTCCTACAGGCAAGACTGGAGAAGGAGGCTCATTATTTCGAGGTCGGCTAATTTGTCAGTGTCATTGGACATGTTTTTGTGGGGTTTGTGCTAGTAAAGTGCTGATGTAGAGGACTAAGCAGCTGAGGGGATAAAGAAAGCATGGAAAAACGTTCATCTAATCCTTCAGCGGGATTTGCTGGCTTTTCTGGAGAGGTGGAACACCACACTGCAGAAGGGCTCCACAGGGCTGCCTGCTGTGTCCCTCTTTGGAGGAAGGAGCCAGTACAGGGGTGCTGTAGTGCTACCTGCACCATCAGCTTCCTTAAAGAAGATGGACAGTCAGGTGAAAATGCTAAAGAACAAGTCCTTTGATTCTAATGCTAACTGAGGAGTTTAGAAGGGGAGATTATCCTTAAGGTAGTGTGCATATCTCCCTGTCTTTCCCTTTAGTCTTTCTGCTTAAGCTGGGTCTTGCCTGCTGGCTTTGGCAAACTCCTATGGGTCAGAAGAGATAAGGCATGATTTCACATGCATTTTTCAGAGGTAGTACTGACTTAAGCAGGCTGTGGCCACTTGTTCCTGCCTCCATTCCACCCTCTCAGCTGTGTCAGTAGAGCTGTTTGTGCAGCTAGAAAACTGGCTCAGAGGAGTGTTGGGCTGAGAGCAGCCTGATCTCCTCTTGGAGGTTACTTTCAGCATCCATTTTTCATCGGTCTGGATTCTTCACAGGCAGAGGGAGTGCAAGCAAATGGCAGGTGTTAAGACAGAACTGCTCAAACTAGAATGTCTGAAGAAGGAAATATGTGTCCCTGCTTCTCTATGAACATTTTGGAGGTCCATGCAGCTGCTTCTGTTACCATCCAATCCCCAGAGCCATCATGAGGGACCAGGGACCATCTCCTTTGCAGGATGTAAAGATGATTCCAGGGTTCACTTCTGCACTTACGGGCTGAAAAGTTGTTCTTACTGTAGTATACAGAAGAAAATGATCACCCCGGATTATTGGCTCTAGTGCATTAGGGAAGCTAATCGGTGACCTCAATACTCGTGAGACTTAACAAGGTTTTAGAGATTTCCAGTGCTTCTGTGAATGAGGAGCAGCAATTGTACAGCCGCCTGGGATCTGCCTGGTAAATGCCACAGTCGTGTCCCTGCCGCTCCTGGTGGTGTGTGAAGTCGTGAGTCCCAGGCAGGCTGGGACTGTGGTTGCACCAAGAGCAGGCTTGGTAGCAGGCCCGAGCGTGCTGGGCGCTGCGGTGCTCTCGCTGGCCGGCCGGCCGCACCAGTGCCCGTCAGTCGGGCTGGTCAGGCTCCCAACACCCTCACTATGTGCAAGAGCTGCTCGGGACACCAGGTAGACAGGGCTGGGGCATGCTCAGCCTGACCACATGAAGGAGGACTTGGGGCGGTCTGGGTCTGCAGCTGGGCATGTGCTTGTGGGTGAATAACCGAGGGGAGAGCGAGCCTGGAGGTGGGAATGGGTTCAGACCTGCTTCTGTGTGTCGGTGGAGGCATGTTCACATCCAACATGCTACTTGGTCGTGTCTGTGGCAGAAGTTGATCTTGGACTGTTCACAGAGTAATTTTGCCCTGGCTTCCTGTTTCTTACTTAGTGTGTAAATGTAGAAGCTGCCTTCATAATATTTAACTTAAGCATCTAGTACTATAACAACAAAGGGCATTTATGGCTTACGGTGTAATTCCATGAACTGTTCTTAATGTTTTTCTTTTCGGGACAAATATATTTCCCATCAGCAGATGTTGAGTGGCAATTAGGTCACAGACTACTCAACTGGTATATATATATATATTTTTTTTTTTTCACTGCTGAGTGTCTGGATGGGGCATCCATTGAGATGAATTTTCCAAAGTGGTACTTATCCAGGAATTAACAGAGAGGCAGGAATTAAGAGGTGTTTAGTGCTTGTACTTTGCAAATGTCAGGCATGCTGCGATGGATGTTCCCCAGAAAACCATCTCTGTGCAAGGAAGGTGGAAAATCAGTGTGCAGAATCTCATAGAACTTGCAACCACAAGCTTAACTAAGAAGAGTAAGGGTATCAAATGGTTACGTCTTCTTGTTACACTGCTGTCTCCCTGGTGGTGAAGTCTGAGACCAAACTGAAGATCAAAGCAGAACAGGAGGGAGGGGATTGTCCCAGGTCACTTATGTGATCATTACAATTAAGTAACCTCTTCCCTGTGTGAGGGTCAGCAGGGACATCATCATTTTTGTTGTGGCAGGGACATCTGAAGGGGAAATGATATTACACTGGTTGACATTTGTTGTCAAATATTTTCACAAATATTAATCCAGTGCAGACCATTGATGGTTACCTTAAATATTTTTTTTTCCATTGAGTATGGAACAGCCAATTAAGCAGGCCTTTTTTGTATACACACACAAAATAGTACTTTCAAATGCTGATCTAGGAATTCATCATGGGATGAATATTCATTAGCTTTTTAATCAGTGGTTGGGACAGTAGTAGTTAATTAAAAGAAGATCAGTAATTATTTCAGACATCCTAGTACACTGGGACACTGTCCTATTCTTCGATAGTACAAACCTCATAAAGAAGAGAACTGTTGCTTACAAAATATTTAACCAAGGAAACCATATTAAGTGCAGGTGAACTGTGGAGAAGTCAAATATTGCAACATAGCTCTAGCTTGAGAATATGGCTCCAACCTCGAAGATTATATATATCTGTAGATTTGTTAATATTCCTAATAGTGGGAGATAATGGCTGTATTTTAGTTGTTCTGTAAAGTATATTTTTGGTTTTGTGTGCTTTTTAAAAATATTTTTGGGAAAGCTTGACTCCCAGGATTTCTCAGTAGCTGAATTCATGTTTTCCTTCTGACTGTAAAAAAATTTGTATTCTGAATAAAAGCAATCAGTGCTATCAGTGCAGTAACCATTCCATTTCCATTAACTCCGTGGAAGCAATGAATGAACAAGGGCCAAGGGTCAGGTTAAACTGCAGCAGGCCTGGGAAGCCTTGTCGTGACCTGTTTTTAATTTTAAAGCCTACTGCTGGCTGCTTCAGGTCAGCTAAAACAACCTTGGGTGCTCTGCATGCTGGAAGCATGCTGCTTAGCAAAACAGAGCATGGCCTGGTATGGAGCTGCTAAGTAGCTGCAAATTCTGATCAACTCTATTAGCTACTGCAGTAACTTATCCTCATGTTTTGAGATACCAGTGTTTTTTAAAAATATGCTGGAACCTGCCTTTTTTTGGGCACTGTTTTCTGCTTGGTTTAAAAAAAAGGCAGCAGGCTACTTAGTGCACTAATAACATAAGATTGTCTGGTAGAAGTAATATTTAATTAAATAAGTGAAAAAAAAAAAGTCTCTGAAATCATAGGTATAAAAAGCCTGTCTCACAGTGAGTAATTGCGTACTTGAACTAGTCCTCAGTAGGCATTTAGTATATGTTATTTAATCCTTGTGTCAGATTTCTTTTGCACTTCCACTTTGACATACTTAATAGTAATTTTTTGTCAATGTTAATGAATCACCTATTTGTTTTAATCTTTTAAATCGCTATTACATGCTCAAGTTATTTTGGTTCTGTGTAAAAGCAAATAAAACTTCTGGTAGGCATCTAATTGTTGAACTATTCTGTTTTGCCATTTGCTGTTTCTGCTCTCAATATATTATTTTACTTCCTCTCAGAGTGGTTTGTGAAGGTAAAATAATTTCTTTTAATTATTTGACATGTGTAATCTTGTTCGGATTTGTCTTGTGCTCAAAAAGAATAATTGTCCCAAAACTGCAAGAGTCCCAAATGTGCGTTCATTAGTAGGCAAAATTACTCAGCCTCTTTAATGGGAGTTTTTTCCTTGGTGTGGACTGCTGGCTGGCCCCGAGGGCATCTTACCTTCTGGTTTCCTGGTGGTCTAAACGCTTTGATTTTCCTTCATTCTGGAGTCATTTGTATATTTATATGCTCACTGAATTGGGCTAAGTGCATTTTGGAGACCTGTTGGTGCTTCTGGGAACGATGTGATTGTCGACTATGAAAGACAAAATACCAAGACACATGGGCCGTAATTTTCCTGTTCGTTAAACATTCATGCTCCTTTGTAGTTTTAACGGAACACTATTATCTAATTGAAACAACAATGTTGCTGACTTTTTAATTATACTTTTGGCAATAAATTCTGAGGAGTCTAAACTTTTTTTTAACTAAATAAATCAAAACTTGCAGTGAGTCACTCGTGGTTTTTTTTGGGTTTTTTTGTTTTTTTTTTTTTTTTTTTTTTAACTTGATGTTTAAGCAAAGCAGTATGCTGAGGGTAGTAAATCTGGACTAACATTAGAAACTTCAAAACATGGTTTCAAGCACTAGGGCTAGCTTTGATTTATACTTCTCTGTATAATGAGCGCAGACAGAAATTTATGATCTGGAATCTAAAGTTTGTTAACTTACCCAGCTTCTGTGGGATCTGTCCTTAGCTGTCCTTTTAAAATGGTGGTAGTGGTTCAATTTCTGCCTGTGAATTCATATGTATGTACATCAGTTGTAAGAAAAATTGTATGAACATCTGTTCTAAATCTGTTTTATAGTAGCCTTATAGCTGAACTGAAATTTCTGTAGGTGTAAAATAAACTTGCAAGGGGCTTTAGAGTTACTGAAATGCTTGTAAATGATCACACTCTGCCCTCCTTAGCTA